ATTGGTGGATGTGAACTGCTGGCCTTATGGTTAGTAGCCCAACATATTACCCCTAAGCCAGCAGGGCTTAGTGAGAGTCAGAGAGGCCAGAAAACAATGGCATATATCTTAACATTTTTTTGGGGGGTCATTTATCTTTGTAAGATATGTCCTTGTCATGGATATGACCTAATTGATTTTGAATGCTGTATAATGTTTTATTATGAATAGATAATTTATCCGTTCCCCCTGTAAATAGATATTGTTTCCAATATTTGATTATTACAAATCATGAAAGCCCTGAGTTGAATTAAAAAATTTTCACCTGTTTATTTCTGGTGTGAAATTTTTTTTCTGAGTAAATTTTGAAGTGGTAACTCTGCTCATAACTCTGTTATCCAAAAACATGAAGATAGATGTCTAGTTCACAGTGTATACACATTTTTAATAGTAAAAGTGAAAAGCAAAATTTTGAATCATTAGAAAGCCTGTGAGATCTAGGATTAGGGGACGTTTCTTAAACAATGCCCCTTCGACGTTTCTTAGACCTACAGAGTTGAGCTCGTAAGGGATTGGTTTGAGGAAGGATATTACCATTTTAATTTTCTGTGTAATGTAAGACGCATGTATAGGTATGTGTACAAAGTCAGCATCTACAAGTGAGAGAAACCAGGCCAGCAACTCTCACCCTATTTGATCAAAGGATAGGAACAGATCATTGAAAGGAGAGGACACCCAGTTGGCTAATCCAGACTGAAAAGGTGGTCATCCTCTGCCGCAACCAGGTCAGCGGAACTTTCCAACGGCAGGATGCCATTTCATCCTGTTCCGACCGGCCTGAGGTAAGCGTGGCATTACCACACAGCAGTGAGGATGGAGAAGTGTAGGGATCTGCCTGCATTGCCGAGGAGAACCTAAGTTGGTAGACATCCTGCCAGTATTTTCTAAAATGGAAAATACTATCTATTCCCCAAACCCCACTAATTATTGGCATTAAGATGACTTCCAAACTTATTTCTCGGTGTAATGCTTTGGGAAATGACCTATGTGTATATGTTTTACTGTTGCTGTTGGGGGCCGTCATTTGTTCTCCGCCCTATTGATATTTCCCTTTGCACCACAGAAGGAAACACTGCCCGGCCCTGCACCTGCTGCCTCACGTCGTTTTTATCTCTGAGCCCATGGAGGCTGCCACTGTGACAGTCCATTTTGTTGAGGGTCTCCATCTTTGTCGCTGCTTTCCACTTTACCCAGCATGATGCCTTTTTCCAGGGAGTGGTCTCTCATGTCCAAAGGAGGCGAGACAAGCTCTCGCCATCCTTGCTTCTAAGGAGCATTCTAGTTGTACGTCTTCTCTGCATATCCTTTCTATCTTTGTTTGTTTTAAATCTTTTCATTGGGGCTGCTTAGAGTTCTTTTTTTTAATCATTTTATTAGGGGCTCATACAACTCTTATCACAATACATACATACATCAATGGTGTAAAGCACATTTGTACATTCATTGCCCTCATCATTCTCAAAACAGTTCCTCTCCAATTAAGCCCCTGGCATTAGGTCCTCATTTCCCCCCTCCCTCCTCGCTCCCCAATTATTTTGTCATATCTTTCCCTGTCCGATATCTCTTATAACATTCCATACATCAGTAGTATCAAGCATATTTGTACATATGTTGCCATCATTTTCTACACAATTACCTTCTATTTGAGCCCTTGGTATTAGCTGTCCGATTATTATTTTCATATCTTACACTGACCACTGTCTCCCTTCACCCACATTTCTGTTGTTCTTCCCCCTGGGGTCGGGTGGGGTTATATGCTGATCATTGTGATCGGTTCCCCCTTCCTCCCCTCCTCCTGTTACCCTCCTGGTATTGATACTCCCATTTCTATTCCTGAGGGGTTTAGCTGACCTGGATTCCATGTCTCATGAGCTCTTACCTGTACCTGTGTACATGATCCAGTCTAGCCTGCATTGAAAGGCAGGACAGGGGTCACAATAGCAGGGAGTGAGAAGCCTCAAAGAATCAGAGGACTATTGTGTGTTTCATTGGTGTTATACTTCACGCTGGTTGCCTTCTATCTTCTTTGGATGCTTCCTGCAGCGTTCAGTATTTTGCTTTGAAAATGAAAAATTTGTTCCATTATTTCAGTAAGTCTTGGAGCAGTAAAAAAGTATGTTATCTCTAAACACTTTGAATCCATGAATATTGCACCTTGAGGCTTGAGTTTTTTCTTCAGTTCTTTCAGCTTTTCATATGCTGAGTGTGCCCACGCCTTCCTTTTTGGTTTTCTAACCCCTGGTCTTTGCACATTTCATTACAACATTTACTTTGTCTTCTCAGACTGCCCTTGAGCTTTCCTGGTCAGTTCTTTTACCGAATGTTTACTCTCACCTACTCTGTGCATGCATGTGTGCGCATAGGGAAAACACAAAATGCACTTGGAAAAATGATTTGCCTTATTCCTTACAGTTGTTTCCTAAGGTTCCTATGACGGATTTTTGTTTGTTTGAAACCAACATGTATGTCACGAATACAAGTCCACTTCGGTTTCACTTTTCCTCCACGTATAGCCACTCAGACCTCTGTGTAGATCTGATGGGCAAGGAGGCTGGAGGGTTCTTAAGGCTGTGACCCTTCTCTCCTTGAAAACAACAACTTTATTTATTTGTTTACATGTAATATAGATTACATTCCCTTTTGCTTGTGGAATGTGATCTATACAAAGAAAAACACGTTATGTAGTGGCACAGCCCATGTCATCAAAGAGGTGACAGTGCCCCATCAAGCTGCCTGTGTATGTGGGGTTTTCTTCTTTCTACCCTTCCCACCCCCCTTACCTTCTTGTACCTTCCTTCCCCATCTTCGCCCTTGTAATCTCTAAAGTAGTATCCTTTGTTGTGAAAACCATTTTCCTTTTTCTTTTAAAATAATAATGTTGCAAGTTATATGTCTTTATGAGCTTGACTACCTTTGTAGAGTGCAGTGTTCTCTCATTTGGTCCATACCTGAAGGTGTTTGACAGACTCGTTCTTTTAACGGCTGTCTAATATTCCGGGTTCCCATGACAAACTGAGCAGCATAAAACAAGATAAATTTAATGAGGACCTAATGTCGGGGGTTTAAGTGGAGAGAAAATGTTTTGAGAAATGATGTACAAATGCGCTTTACACAATTGATGTGTGTATGGATTGGGATAACAGTTGTATGAGCCCCTAATAAAATGTTAAAAAAAAAACCAAGATAAATTTATTCTCTCTCTGTTTTGGAGGCTGGATGGACAAAATCAAGGTTACTTGTATTATCTGAATTGTTAACATATTCTTGAAATACTGATCTTAATTCACCATTGGGCAAGAAAATGTTTTTCTTTCTTTTTTTTAAAATAGCTTTCTTTTAAAATATATAGCCTCAACTATTTGGGGTTGGTTTAGAAAATTAAAAGTTGAGTTGCAATCTGTTTGTTTACAGTCTGGCTCATACTCTGCATTTGTTTGGTGGTTGGGGTGGTCTCTGTTTCCCAGGATACCCCCAGCATGGACTAGGACTAGGGTGCCTTTCTCTGTGGACATGGTCAGTTGTCCCTCCCTGGACTCCACTGTTGCTCTATAAGAACAATGGATCTTAAGGCTGTAAGAAGGCCAATGTTCTCAAGTCAACAATTTGTTTCAGTATTTCAGTAAGTTTTTGAGCATTAACAAAAGTATATTATCTCTAAATGCTTTGAGCCTTAATTCAGAGAAGCTGTGCAGTAGTAAATGCACAGCTACTGCACAACATGGATAGATAGATAGATAGATAGATAGATAGATAGATAGAGCACACTCTAGGGAGTTATTTATACATATGAATGCAAGTGAAAAGGAATAGACATGCTTGCTTGTTTATTAGCAGGATAAGGAGATCCTAGTGTCCCATGGGAAAGTGGGAGTCTTTAAATCAGCTTGAGCTTCTATACATGTAAATATGCCTGTGCTCTGAGGAGAGTTTGAGGTCTGACTGACAGGAGTTAAGGACTTGGGGCAAAGAGACCATCTCTGGACAGTGAAATGCAATACCTGACTCCTGTACCGAAGAGCAGAAAAGAGGATTCCAAGGGACTATTTCGAACATTTTCAGCTTGATCCATTTGGTAATTTAGAGAAATAGACAAACTTTAAAAAGATACGAAGTGCCAAAGTAAACCCAAGAAGTAAAAGATCATTTGAGTATCTATGGTCTGACACAATTCCCTCCTTTAAATTTTGATTATATTATTTGCAATCCTTGAATCACACTGGGTGGTGTGCTTCTTCCATGTGGACTTAGTTGGCTGTTTGCTTGAAGACAAGCCTTTAAGACCCCAGATGCTATTCTTCTGATACCTGGGCACCATCTAGTTTCTTTGCCGCACACTTTTATGCTGTGGCACCATACCTTCAGTGAGCTCGTCATGGGGGGGGAGCACGATTTGACAAAAGAAACTTAATGTACTTTTAAGATGTACTCGATTAATTTTTGACTCTTTGTGCCCGTGCTAATTTTCATTAGCTTAGGATGCATTTCAGTTTGCCCCAAATAGCTAATTAGTTTTGTTTGTTTTCATATACTTGAACTGTTTTTTTCTTTTAAGTGCTTTTATGTTCTTTGTCTGGAGCCTGGGTGGGACAACTGTCTGCTAAAGATTTTGAACCCACCCATTGGCCCCATGAAAGAAAGGTTTAGCAAACAGCCTACATGAGATTACAGCCAAGAAAAACCCATGGGGGCAGTTCTACTTTGGAACTCCTGGATGAGGTCATCCCACGTCACAGGGCGAGTCAGCTACCAACGAACAGCTCAGCTTCATCATGGCCCTTATTTCAGTTTCATCTCTCATTACGGAGTCATGTTTGCTTTTGCCACCTCAAGTGAGGACAAACTTCTGACTTATGTAATATTTAAAAGCCCATTTTCAGTGTGCCTGAAGTCATCGTAATATGTGAAAATACTTATGGCTGCTTGGAGGCATACCCAGACTTAATTCTGTTCCCTCTTTTCAGTTTTCCCCTGGAAGTGAATTGGCAGCTCGGGCTATGCTGCTGTTCTTCATGCTGGGGCTGCTGGTACACGTTGTGTTCTTCGCCTCCATCTTTGACATCTATCTGACGTCTCCCCTGGTTCACGGGATGACTCCTCACTGGACACCGTTGCCTCCTCCGGCGAAAAGACTAGTGTTGTTTGTGGCCGATGGTCTGCGAGCTGATGCAGTTTTTAAGTTAGATGAAGATGGAAGTCCCAGAGCACCATTTATCAGGTGAGCATGCCCACTGGTACAAGGCTGTCTCTTGAAAAGGTTTCCTTGAGGTCAAGTGAACAGGAAAATGTCAGACTGTTTCTCTCATATGGGTACTGAGGTGAAGACTGAGAAAGAGGCATTTGCCATTGTCTTACAAATTAGCACTATACTGATAGTTTATTTGTCCCTAGCCCTGATGACATAGTGGTTATGTGTTGGATGGCTAACAGCAAGGTCAGCAGTTCAAAACCACCAGTTGCTATGGGGGAAAAAGATGGGACTTTCTACTCCTATAAAGAGTTACAGTCTTAGAAACTCACAGGGGCAGTTCTCCCTGCCCTATAGGGTCCCTAGGAGTCAGCATTGAGTCCATGGAAGTGAGTTTGGTTTTTTGAGCCATAATCTCTCCTATTGTAGAACCTTGATATCAGGTGATTTGAAATGTTGGGCTTAGTTGCTTGGGATAGATTGGGCTAACTTAATCAGACTTCCTCCAGTTTCTTTTTCTTAAAGAAATAATCATCTTAATCTCTTTAATAACAAAAAACAGAAAAATGAAAAAAGCAGTCTCACAATAGCCTATAACTAGGAAATATAGATGGCAACTCAAATAGCACCTTCTGTCTGAGATGCATTGGAAGAGATCTCTGCCTGAGCGATAGAGGCTGCTGAGACTGTTGCACAGAGACGAGAGGTGCAGCGTTGAGACTATGGGATACCTTTTCCTCATCTGGCCCAAGTCTGTGAGACTGAGATAGGGTGACAGTGAGCTGGCTTCCTGGCCCACAGAGGCAGAAGCCAAGGGACCTTGTGGCTGAGAGGTTGAGGACCAGGGAGAGACTTGGTTGCTAGCTGAGGAGAGGTGCTGCTGTGAGCCAACAATGGTATTCTTACTGTTGACCGATCCTGACTTGTGGTAACCTCCTGATTTCCCTAATAAACTCCCCTTGATCATGTGAAAAAATCCAACATAGAAAATATTACCTTCTGTCAAAAGATTTTGAATCACCTCATATACATGTATATGGGTATATATACATATATATGAATAATGAGGAAGAATTGATACACTTTAATTATAGTGCACAAGAATGTTGAAAGTACCATATGATATGATAATTATGTGTCAATAAAATGGTTAAAATAAAGGTGAAAATTCCATGGACTGACAGAAGGACAAACAAATCTGTCTTGGAAGTACAACCAGAATGCACGGCGAGACTTTGCCTCACATACTTTGGACATGTAATGAGGAAAACCAGTCCCTGGAAGGGCCTGGGCAGTGTTCATTCTGTTGTTCGTGGAGTGACTCTTAGTTGTAACCAATTCAAAGGCACCTAACAATATAAAATATTAAGCCATTCTAATTCCATATCACTGTTTAACTTTGGCTTTGGTTAGGTAGCTTCAAAAAGTACTGCCTAATTTTGTGGATTTACAGAGCTCCTACAAGCCTTTTTCTTTCTCTGCCTAGTAGAAAGTTCCTCAAGACCTGTATTGTATTACATTCCATTGCAGCCGTGCACCATATGACATCAGTTTGGGCACCATCTGACCACATATGTCTGTGATCCCAATGCTGTAAAGGTACATATGGGGAGGCTTCATAAAGTTCATGGAAAAACCCTGAGACCTGAAGAACTAGATGGTGCCCAGCCACCATCACAAACTTCTCAGAAAAGGATCCCATTAAAAGGTCTTAGATAGCGTGGAAGAAAAAATGGGAAGCAAAACTTAAAATTATAAGAGACCAGGCTTGCTGGTCAGAGAGAGATTGATTGGACTCCCCAAACTATGGCCCTTACCCTTCAAGTCTGGAACTGAACTCCACCTCTGAGTTAGAACAATCAGCTTTTTATGATAAAAAGGCAGCATTTACACAGGTTAAAGTCCTGAAGGAGAAATAGAAACAGGAAACACAGGGAGGAAGTGGGATAAGCCACGGCACATTGAGGGATTGCAACAGATGAGTTGGGTCAGAATGTGTGTGCACTGTTGAACAGAAAGCTATGGTCCACTCTGCAAACCTGCACCTAATGCATGAGAAGAGGTCCAAACGTTGATGAAAAACAATGAAGAGATCATGAATTTTTCGAAGTCCACTTGTACAATGGTTCCTAATAACAAATGGGCACTCCTTGGCGGTGCACATCAAAACAGAACTATATTATTCTGCTGCTGATGCTCAGTGTATCTGAAAGTGCTGCTTTCCTTTTTTTTTAATGCACAGAAAAGTATACTACGTATGAAGAAGAACATTTGACTACCTCATGTTAGATAGGAACTGTACCTACCCATTTCCAACTGAGGTACAAACTTGACTCAGACAGATTTAGGAAAGGAGCTTGCTTGTAATCCTCGGATTGCAGGCATGAACGTCCTATGGTGACACAGGATGCCATCGATTGTACCTATCCTCATGCTGTTGTGGAGAGATTAAAGCTAAGATTTTGTGGTAATTGGTCCCATTCTCATCTGCCCTCACTACCCTCCACTCCTTTGCCGAGTTTGATTTCTTATTACTGTGCAGTGCCACAAGATGAAGAGCTCTGTCTGCTTCCTACAGCTTGACCTCCAGACCTTAGCACAGAACAGCCGTCTAACACACACTCGTTGACTCGAATGACGACCTCTCATTCTATTTAATGTTGAATCCCCAGAAATAAATGTATGATGGCTCAGAGAAATGTGTGATTTCCTAAAGAATAAAGCAACAAATGAACGTCTCAGGCCCGTAAGAAAACATAAGTAGGAAGACGAGATCAAACTAGGGCAAAGGTCCGTACCTAAAAAAACATGTAATGCAGAGTCCTACAAATAATTAAAATACTTGGGTGATAAACGTCACTGCTGTTGAGCTGATTCCAACTCAATAGCAACCCTATAGGACAGAGTAGAACTGCCCCTTCAGGTTTCCGAGACTTTAGAGCGTTTCCAGAGCAGACAGCCTGACCTTTGTCCCGAGGAACAACCCGTGGGCTTGAACTGCTGACCTTCAGCAGCTCAACGCTTAACCAATTCTGATACCAGGCCTCCTTTTTGGGTGATATATAGTTAGGTGAATTTCTTTGTGGGCGAAGAAAGTGAAATAGATTTTGTTGCAAAAATTGTTAGTTGTCATCAGATCGGTTGTGACCCATAGCAACCGTGTACACAAGCGAATGAAACACTGCCTTGCCCGGCATCGTCCTCACAGTTCTTCTGTGTGTGAACCTGCTGCCACAGGCACTGTCGAGGGCCTGCCTCTTTTACTGCCTCTCACCAAGCAGGATGCCCCTCTCCAGGGGCTGGTCTCTCCTGACAACATGTCCACACTGGGTGAGACGAAGTCTTGTCATCCTTGCCTCTAAGCAACATTCTGGTTGTGCTTCTTCGAACACAGATCTGTTATTTTGGAAAAATTACTAGGATAAAAATATATGGGGGCTTGTCTGACAGCTATTATTTCTCCTAATTTCTCCTCTGGGTCTTATGTCGTATGTGAACCCACTGCTCACACCCTTCGTATATTTTGTGTTCTGTATTTAGTTTCAAAAGCTCCATTCTATCCTGAGCCTGTTGTTTCTTCCCCACTTTCTGTAAGCCTTTTTCCTGTTTAATCCAGTTTTCAATATGTAACTGAAGAAATTGAAGATTATTTCAGTCTGATAATTTATACAATGGTTTTCAGACCATTTAATAGTTACTTACAGATGGCACGAGGAGCCCTGGTGGCACAGTGGGCCATACATTGGATTGCTAACTGCAAGGTCAACAGTTCTAAACCACCAGCTGCTCCTCAGAAGAAAGATGAGGCTTTCTTCGCTGTAAGAGTTACAGCCTCGGAAACTGGCAGGGCAGTTCTACTCTGTCCTGTAGGGGCACTGTGAGTTGGAATCAACTAGATGGCAGTGGATTTTTTTTGCGAAGAGAAGGTGGTTATGCGGGGGTTTAGAAAGATGTTATTTATTATGGAGTGTCACGATTACAAGTCTCTAAACCACAACTCATATGCTTTGTCAAAAGATGTATTAAGATTAATGTGTTTGGATGCATTCTGTGTTTCCATAGCTCTTTGCTCTGGTGGCATAGTGGGTTGAGCCTTGGGCTGTTGCAAAGTGAGTAGCTCCACAGAAGAAAGAGGAAGCCTTTTGATTCTGTAATGATTGGCAGGAGCAGGTCTACTCTGTCTGGTAGGGTCGCTATCTGTGTTAGTCTGGGTAGACTAGAGAAACAAATTCATAGACAGTCCTATTGGTAGAAGAGAGTTTTCTATCAGAGAGTAATTTTACATTAAGAAAACATCCCAGCCCAGTACAGATCAAGTACTTAAGTGTGGTATTAGCCCATATGTCCGATACCAATCTATAAATTCCTCTTCAGACTCACGAAACACATGCAATGATGCCGAATGCAGGACAATCATAGGCCAGTGGGTAGAAAGTATTGTGGATCCAGTGGTTGTCTAAGCATCTCAGCGCTGGCAGGGGTTTCCATGTGGCTTCTCCATCTCTGATGCTCTGGCTGCCACCAGCTTGTCTCCATGTGGCTTGTCAACTAGAATGCCTCACAGGGACTGAGAGTGTGTCCCGCCTCCAGTGAGCTATTTATCTCCTTACAGCAGTGGTTCTCAACCTTCCTAATGCTGCAACCCTTTCATACAGTTCCTCATGTGTGGTGACCCCCAACCATACAATTATTTTCATTGCTACTTCATCATTGTAATTTTGCTCCTGTTGTGAATCGTAATGTAAATATCTGATATGCAGGATGTATTTTCATTGTTAAAAATTGAACATAATTAAAAATAATTAAAGCATAGTGATTAATCACAAAACAATAAGTAATTATATACTGTGAAATATTTATGTGTTTTCCAATGGTCTTAGGTGGCCCCTGTGAAAGGGTCATTCAACTCCCCCAAAGGGGTCATAACTTTTCTAGAGAGTCCTGGGCTGACTGCTCTGTCTTAAATTTAACTGGCCCAACAGAGCTCCTAGGAAGTCATCCTTTTAATTGAATCTCACTCTCTTACTCTCTGGATTCTATTAGTAAAACCAAGACTTATCTCTGCATATAACTCATTCCATAAAATTGCCTTCATTAACTTTGATCTGGCTTAAAAGACCAGTGGTCAGGAACAGTTATGGGAGTAGCGAAACCAGGAGGGTAGGAGAAGGTGGGGAGAGGTGGGGAGGAAGAGGGAACCGATCGCAATGATCAGCACATAACTCCCCCTGCCCCACCCCAGAGGACGAACAACAGAAACCATGGGGGAAGGGAGACAGCAGTCGTTGTGAGATATGACAATAATAATAATTCATAATTTACCAAGGGGTCATGAGGGGGGTAGTGAGGGTAAAAAAAGGAGCTGATACTAAGGGCTCAATAGAAAGTAAATGTTTAGAAAATAATGATGGTAACATATATACAAACATGCTTGATACAATTGATATATGGATTGTTACAAGGGCTGAAAGCCCCCAATAATGATCTTTTAATAATGATAAAAAATACTAATAGAAAGAGCCAAGACATATTTAAATATGTTATGTTTGAAATAAACCTATACCGATATGAATTGGAACTCTGATAGCAATACTTTTACATTTACTCATAAATACATACATACACACATATTTTAATTATTATTTCTGCAAAACAATTTTATAACAGAAACTCTTAAAGATGACCTTTGAACACTTTAGCATGTATCTTCTAAACATTCTCCCACATGATCACAGTATCATTAGCGCATCCAATCAGTTTAACATTGATACAAAAATATTGTGTGTACCAGTTGCCAATATATAAGAAATCATCTCAATAATGTGGCTTAAAAACAGGAATGGTATATGGGGCGAGGCTTGAAAATGCTTTTGGAAAAATGGAATTGAACTTTTTGAGGCACGCTCTTTTAAAAAAATTATAAATAAAGCATTTTATTGGGTTTACAGCCCTTATAACAATCCATACATCAATTGTATCAGGCAGCTTTATACATATGTTGCCTTCATCATTTTCACAATATTTTCTTTCTGTTTAAGCCCTTGGTATCAGCTCCTCTTTTTTCCCCACCCTCATGGACCCCTGATAAATTATTATTATTTTTGTGTCTTATACCTCCCAGTGTCTCCCTTCATCCATGTTATTGTTGTTCGAATCCCCTGGGGCGGTGGGGGGAATTGCATGTCATTGTAGTCGATTACCCGTCTTCCCCCCTTGTCCCCCTCCTTCCCCCTACCCTCATGGTCCCCCTCCTTCCCATTGCTGTTTCTGAGGGTTTATCTGTCCCGGATTCCATGTGTCGAATGCTCTTATCTGTACCAGTGTACGTAAGCACCCTCTTATTTTATCTCATGAGTCTGTGTGGTGGTGGGCAGCATCCTGGTTGGTCTCACTTGAATTACCACATTCAGCTGATGGGAAGGCCAGGCCTGGGTTCAGTTTAGTGATATTCGAAAGACTCCGTTTCTTCTTAAGTTTTGAAGGAACTTTTTGTTTTCAATTCCTTTAATATTCAGATTTTTTCTGAAGCCCTATGAGAGCATTTAGTCATAGTCTGTGTTAACCATCCATTTTTATATCTTTTAGGAATGTCATCATGCATGAAGGCAGCTGGGGGATCTCTCATACACGTGCGCCCACGGAATCCAGGCCAGGGCACGTAGCCCTGATAGCTGGGTTTTACGAAGATGTCAGTGCCGTTACCAAAGGTACTGTCCATCTAGATAAATATCTTAAGGAAAGGTACCCTCTAAGTGTATTAAAGATCTCTGGCGGTGTCATGGTTGGGCTCTTGGCTGCTAAGTGAAAGGTGGGTGCTTTAAACCCACCAAGCGACTCCACGGGAGAAAGACCTAGTGATGTATTTGCAGAAAGATGGCAGCCAAGAAAACCAAGTTGGTGTATGGGGCAGTTCTCGCTCACAGGGAGTCCTGCTGAGTGGAAATAGACTGGACGGCACCGACAGCGCTACAACACTGACTTGTGTCTCCAAGGTCAATGTGAGCTTTGAGATGCTTTTGGCATGGTTTTTAGCAGCCCTTTTTCCTCAGAGTCCTCACCAGCATTAGTTCCGCAATTAACCGTCCTCCTTGATCATCCTAAATGCTTGAAAAATGTGGTCATTTGATTTCAAGAATTCCTGTATTTTCATGGTGTTGCCCTCAACATTTCAAAAGCAATTGTGGTTTTTAGTCAGAACTAAAGGATCTGTGATTTGTGTTGACTCTTTTCCCTAGCTGAAACTATTAATAATTATTTTAAAAACACTTTTTAGGGACTTGCTTCCCCATGCATCTTTTTCTCCTCTCTCTCAATTACCTGAAGGATGGAAGAAAAATCCTGTAGAATTTGATTCTCTTTTTAATGAAAGCAAGTATACCTGGAGCTGGGGAGAACTCAATATTATATCGATATTTGCCAAAGGTAAGAGCTACTTTCCTCATGTTGTTATTAAGGTCAGTGGGCTAATTTTTACACTCGGCTAATTCTTGCATTTCTTTGATTTTTGAGGCTTATGGTTTTACAGATTAAGATCTTTGAAATAGGGGTGTGTATGGCAATAGACGGAACAAAGGTATTTTTTTTACTTCTCAATTATATTGAAATATTAGCAGATCATACACAGACAGTACTTAGGTTGCAAATGTCCAACTTATATACAACCTGTAGTTACAAGACAACCCTCAGGAAGCCTATTATTAAACATTCAAGACATGCACGGGTTCATAATAACAAACAGGTGCTACTTTGCAGCAAACATAAAAATGTTATTGTTGCTATGTTGCTAAATTTAAAGATGCTTTGTATCTGCAAATGTTTATTTTTTAAACATAGAAATATACACTACATTATTATTTTTTACACTATATTCTAAGACAAGCATTTGGCTAACTGAAGTTAGATATGAACCATACTTAACTCTTCTGCTTCATGTACAAATTTGACTAAAAGATAAATGTAGGAACTGATCATCTTCATCTTCTGGGGCCCGTAGTTAATATTATCTTGGATTCAATGAAATCTCTACCACTTAATAGCATCATAATCTCAGGCAAGTTAGACAACTAAGCTTCAGTTTCCCTTTTTCCTTTGTAAATAGGACAATAGTATTTATATCATAGGATTTTTTTGAGGATAAATATAATTAATGAAAGTATTTATCCACCCCACTCCCTAACTATCATGACCCCAATTCTACCTTACAAATCCAGTTAGACCAGAGCATGTATACTGGTACAGTTAACAGCTGGAAACACAAGAAATCCAGAACAGATAAACCCCTTAGGACCAATAATGCGAGTAGCAATACCAGGAGAATAAGGGGAAGGTGTGGGGAGTAAGAGGGAACCGATCACAATGATTGACATATAACTCCCTCCCAGGGGGATGGACAACAGAAAAGTGGGTGAAGGGAGACACCGGTCCGTGTAATACATGAAAAAAAAATTTATAAATGATCAAGGGCTTGTGAGGGAGTAAGGGTAGGGGAGGGAGGGAAAAATGAGGAGCTGATACCATGGGCTCAAGTAGAAAGAAAATGTTTTGAAAACGATGATGGCAACATATGTATAAATGTGCTTGACACAATGGATATGTATATGGATTGTGATAAAAGCTGTAAGAGCCCCCAATAAAATGATAAAAAAAAGAAAAGCATTTAGCCAATTTCTGTCATCTGTGTTGTTCATCTATATTCAATATGATGGAATTGATATCTGGTTCATTATACCTTGATAAATTATTGAAGAAGTTAGTAGATATTCATATTAGTGAAAGATTTCACAGATAAGATGATTTATATTTGTAATTCTTACTTTGATCAGCTTCAAGTCATAGAATTTGTATTTATTGTGTTTGTTTATGTTCATGAATAAGAGATTTCTATTATTTTCTAAAATTGGTAATACTGCTTTTCAATTTTATGTCATTAAATGCTTTTTTTAGTGGTTGTACAATGATGGGCATTTTACTTAGTAGGAAGATTCAATAAAATTTTCATAGCCACAGATATAATAACCATAAAATATGACACTGGGTCCTTGATTTATTCCCTCAATATGCCCTGGCCTCCTAAATTACATTATGCAAATGACATAACCAAGAGATTCAAGGCAGAAGAACAGTTTCCATTAGAAAATATGTTTGCAGAAATAATGAAGAGAGTTCTTTTAGAAAGACGGAGGCCATTTAATCTGAAAGCACTGAATCCTTTGTCATCCTCCTTTGACAGAATTCTTCCAGATATCTGAGAATGTTTTCTTTTTGCTTCCAAAATATATACGCAGGTACAATCCATGCTCAGAAGGAAGCTTTTCTTTGGTGTGTACTAATTTGCCCAGAACTGTGAAGCTACACGAGCTTCTTAGTTCATATGTAGGAGCCAGAAATATCTTTTTCCCAATCTTGTAGCAAACAGTGCTAAATTGGAATTATTGGAGCATGGTGACTTGTTGACCCAGCTGTTATATATCCTGACAGCCAAATATATATCCAGAATTTCATATCTGGTAGTCATAGAGAGCTATTACGCTGTGCCGACCAAGACACTTCAAACTGGCTGCTATTAAATGGCTTTTCTTTGGGAAAGCAGGTTGGTTAGCTTTGTGGGTGATTGATACTGATGCGTGGGGGGTATCAGGTTGCTATGGCTTGCCAAACCACCCATTTTATTTCTTGGTACAGCTGATGGATGGGGCAGGCCCACTATCTGAATCAGCGATAAGCCGACAGGCACGTCTGTTTCTTCTGGTAACCAGAACCTCACTCAGGTCTTGGGGGAAATGAGAGGTGAATGGCCCAGCGGTGGAGTGGCGCTCTGAGCTGAGCTGCTCCGGCTTAGAACTGACTGTCCTCACTTTTCTCTTTTTCTTCCTTTCGGCTGCAAGTGCCTATCTGTCTGAGAAAGTCATTTCATTTAGTACACTCTTAATAATGTCATGTAAATATGTTAGACTAATGTGTATATTGACCCTTTCCATCGGTTTATGATCTCTGGTGGCACAGTGGTTAAAACATTCACCCGCTATCCAAAAGGCTAATGGTTCCAACCCACCAGCCCTCAGTGGGAGAAAGATGTGGCAGCTTGCTTCTGTGAGGATTTACAGCTTGGGGCACCCCCTGGAGCAGTTTACTTTGTGCTTTAGGATTGCTTATGAGTTGGAATGACTCAGTGGCAATGGGTAGGTCAATCTTGTGATAATAACTGGTATTTGTTATTCTCTGGTAAGGAAAATATGTACAGTCTATGAACAAGAGGAATGAAACATTTGAGTTTTCTTCTTGCTTTAGGAAGTTTAGTCAACCAAATAACTTCTAGTCTAGATTTTGATATCCTAAATAGGGAGTCTATGAGTTGGTACTGACTCTATGTGTAGTGAGTTTGGTTTGAAATAAGCACAGATTCCATCAAGGTGATTCTGATTCATAAGGACCCAGCATACCGCAGAGGTTCCCAAACTTATTTGGCTTATTGCTCCCTTTTTAGAAAACAGGTGAAACAAGTCCGAATGGTTTATGCATCTACACCCCTCTTCTTTTTATTCAAAGCCCTCCAATTGTGCCCAAGGCAATCATACTCCTCTTGGATACTTCCAGAACCCGCCCCATCCCCCAGGTGGCGGTATCGCCCATTTTGAGAAACACTGCTACCTAGGGCGTCTGAAGTTCTAAGTCTTTAGTGGAGCAGGAAGCCTCATCTTTCTGCAGCAGAGAAACGAGTGGGTTTGAACTGCTGACCTTGGAGTTAGCAGTCCAACGCTTACCTCAGCGCCATTAGTGCCATAATTTAAGGGACACAATTGATGTCCCTTACCAGCAGCATGGCTTTGCCTAGTCAATGAACTAAAGACAGAATCTATTCCTGGGAGGACGGCAGCACCTGCTGCCCTGCGTTGCACAGCACCCTGTGGGGCAGCAGGAAGGGCATGTCTGCGAGTCTTCCCCCACCCCAACACCAAATGCTCTATGGAACATTCTGGCTACTCGCAAAAATCCTCGAATGACTATCTCAGATCTCATGATGACTTAGAATACTTTAAATGTTTCCCCCACATCTCCTTTGCAGGTGCTAGTCAAGGCCATGTGTATGTACATAGTTATGACACAGAAAAGGAGGATTTGAGCGCCAGCAGTAAAACCAAACTGGATACCTGGGTCTTTGAGAATGTGAAGGTGAGCTCTTTGCTGGGGTTACTTGTCCATGGTGTATTTGTAACTTGGAATTACAGGAAACTGATCAGTGCATCAACATCAATATCGTAGTTATTTTTTTCTACTTGGTGATGGTCTCCGATTTGAAAGTTCTATCTTTGAAGCAAAATGTTTTGAAAATATTGAATTCTGAGAAACTGCCTTTTATAATACTAAATGTTGTAAAAATACATATTTAAAAAACATCCTTGAAAAGAACTGTTTCTAATAAGAGAAACTCACCCACCCTGTCTTTTTTTTATAAAGTCTTATAGATTATTGTATAAAGTCACTATAAGTAATTTGTCCATGACTTTGTAATATTTGGTAGGGGCATAGATTAAATAATAACCCTTATGATGGTACTTCAGTGTGCTGTACTGTCATTGTTGATGCCAGTCAATTCAAGCCTATTTACATTTTGTAAGTAATGATACTGACTTTTGCTATTGTTAATTCTAAGCTGTTTGGAGTACATATTGAGTACTGAATGGTACATAGAGACACATATCAATTTAGATTAAGTTCAGCTCTGTGTAATAAATATAACTTAAAAATCTGCTTCTATTGCAGTAAAGAGAGTACCCCAAATAGGTTGTAGTGGTTTCAGACCCCAGCCAGCGACCTTTCTCTTCTGTTCTCAGAGCATGAGTTTTATCTTCAAGGTTGTTTTGTGATCCAAGATGGTGCTGGAGTCCCAGCCATTATTTTGAAGTTTTAGGCTGACAGTTTGAAGAATCACAAAAGGACATTCCTCTCCTGAGTCTTATTTATTTAAAGACACTTGGCTCCATATACTTTTTTCCTTTTCTAAATATTATTGATTTTGTTATTGAGATTATACCCAGGGAACAAACACAAATTCAACAGTTTCTAAATGTACCTCTTAGTGACTCTGATTTCACCCTTTGAGTTGTACAAACATTCTCACCCTCGTTTTCTGAGTTACAAGCCCCTATATCCTTTTTGCTGGAAACATTTGATGCTAATCCCTGTGGCTGCAGTCATGTCCATAGAGGGTACATCAAGCTGCCATAGCAGATGGGACATTGGAGGCCCCAAGTTGGAGCACTGCAATGTCCCACCAAGTCAGGGTTTTTCCTCGAGGAACAGGGGTTTGAAGCAGGCTCCCATGATGTATGCTGCTTTTGCTGGGTGCTGTTGAATCAGCTCCTACTCGTAGCAGCCTGATCAACAACAGGATGGCTGGCTTGTGCATAATCAATAATTATTGCGTATAGAAATGGATGGGTGCCTTTGAATGCAAAGGGGACAGGAAAAGTGGGAATAGATGAGCACGAGAATTCATTCCATTGGAGGAAAGAAGGTAGGGGTATATTTCCCCTCTTATGCCCAATAGGTCAACTTTTTGCAGGTCATAGGAACCAGACAGAGAAAGGTCGAGCTCTGCATTAGCAGTTCACAGCTTCCCAAATACCATAGCGCCCCCCAAAAAAGAGGCAGTATTTTTTTCATAACTGAGTATTTTTACTAGTTGTAGAGCAAATGATAAATTAAGTTCACTTGTTCTAACAAGCAAATTATATATATACATATACATGTGTGTATATATATAATGAATGAATTATATATGAGGAGGTAACCCCCAAAACAGGAATTTATTTTCAAAGCTATGTATTCAAATAAAAAACAACAACAACCACCTTATCACCTTCAAAGTACTCTCCATTACACTTAATTGTCAAATCTGCGATTCCATTCTTGGAAACATTTTTCAAACTAATCTATTTGGATGGTTGACAGCACCTCTCTTATATTTTCCTTCACCTTTTCTACATTGCCATATCTCTGTCCTTTCATGTTCCTCTGCATTCTACAAAAAGAAGTCACACGGAGTGAGGTCAGGTTAGTAAGGTGTGTGGGGCAAGAGAGGCATGCTGTTTTTTGCCAAAAACTGGTGCACTGAGATGGCTGCATGAGCAGGTGCATTGTCGTGGTGGCAAAACCAGTCCCCCATCTGCCACAAATCAGGCCTTTTTTGTCGCACACTGTTCCCCTATCTTTTCAGAACCTCTAAGTAGAAAGCTTCATTAGCAGTCTGACCTGGTGGAACGAACTCCAAATGCACAAGAGTAGACATTTTCATCCATTTGGGAAGTTAATGGACATCTAGATTGAGGTTTGTCATCAATCAACATTTCACTTTTTTTGAAATAAGAAAATCACTCGTACACTAGAGTTTCTCCCATAACACATCCCTTATCAGCTGTGTTCCACATTACAGTTTCTGTGGTATTTTTCCAAAGTAGGAAACAAAATTTCACAGCCACATGCTGTTCTCTTAAATCGGCCATCACAAAAAACGAGATTCAAGTGAAACTGCTTTCACGAAAAAAATTCACTGTAACCAGCGAGAATCTTCCCATGTGACGCCACTGGGTGCACTAACTCAGAGCAAGTTGCTGGATGCTTGTCTGGTAGGAAAAATGCATACTATAAAAGTTTCTCCCAATGGAGCTTTATTCCAGTTTTTTTTTGGGGGGGGGCACCTCATATATATCATATGTTTAGTATTTCTATCATATGTTTAGTATATCTAGTATTTAGCTGCTTTCTTTTAAAGGACTTGTTATTTCTGTCTGGATATAAAATTTCCACTGGGGGTAGAGGTGGGTGGGGAGTAGAATATATACAATTTAGTGAGAATTTTATGCTACTGAGGAGTATGGAAGCAGTCATATATTCATTTAAAAATACATATATTTCTATGGATTGTTATGAGCTGTAAGAGCCCCCAATAAAATGATCTTTTAATTAAAAACAACAACATATATTCCTGGTCCTGAGTAGTTAGTGTCTCTAATGGTGCCATTGATGTTTTTTAAATTTACAAAATAGTGATAGTACAATATTTAAAAGATTACTTGAATACTTGTGATTTTTGTTGGAAAGATAAATGTGTTTTCCTGATAAATGTTAACTCTTTTACAAATGAATAATAATATCTTGGCATGGATGGTGACTTAATTTGAATTAATTTAACATACCCCTCATAAGTATTTGCTTATAGGTTCATATATTTAGAAGGGTACAGAATGAGTCATTTGTTTTAGAAAGGCTTTGTGCTTTCAATTTATCATTATGAAGTTAATGTAATTGTTTTTTTGTTTTTTTAAA